TCTGACACAAATCACATCAACTGGCACATCTTTTCTTAAAGTTGAACCAAGTTGAGTCCAAAAAATGCTTTGACCGCATTCATTTCGAAATGCCCAACACCTATTCTCATAAAATCCCAATCAAACTCTCGAGAACATGGTGTGGAATCCTTTTGAAGATTTCTTTGATGTTCTCTCTAGGCAGACAAGGTCACAAAGGACGTTTTGCACAGATCACGGCGTCCTCTAACAACCGTTCATAAATGCTGTGAGGTCTACCATCACAACACAAACATCCAATGTCTTTCCTGTCCGCGGTATCGTTTATATCGCATACAGTTTGAGAATCGGATATAATGTATATTCTTTCGTTTAAAAACATTTTAAATACTATTTTGCTGTTGTTTTACTTAGGTAATTTTTAGCTCTACTGGTCAGAGACCAGAAGAGCTTATGCGTTAGTAATGCGTCCGTCGTCCGTCCGTCTGTCTGTAAACAATTTTTCAAAATGCTACTCCTCCTACAGTTTTGGTCTGATTTCAATATAACTTGGCACACAAGTAGACTACACTAAGATACATAATTCTGTGTATCGGTTTTTGATTTCGATGAACGGTGTTGCCATGGTAGCTGCAGATCTGTAGCGTTATGGTTTTATATATTTGTCTTTAACCATAACGCTACAGATCCCGTATTGCAAAAAAGGTGCAATTTACGGCGCAATATTTTTTGCGCTCTTTTGGGGAGAATTTCTGCACTTTCTAGCATTGGTCAATCAACTTCCTTTCACTCCCCAATTCTAGAAACATTCTGTACCCAATATGTATAGTTTATCTACCTCCCAACCATTTATAGTTGGATCTACAGGCAATAAACTCGCTGGAAGTGAATTTTCAGTAATCTAACAATTAATTTTAATCAAGCGAGTTTATCACTTGTAGAGACGACTATAAAGGGTTGGGAGATGAATAAAATATACAGATTAGTTAAATAATGTGTCTAGAATTATGGGTTGAAAGGTAGTTGATTGACCAATGCTAGAAAGTGGAGAAATTCTCCCCAAAAGAGCGCAAAAAATATTGCGCCGTAAATTGCACCTTTTTTGCACTACGGGATCTGTAGCGTTATGGTCAAAGACAAATATATAAAACCATAACGCTACAGATCTGCAGCTATTGCCATGGTTACTAAAAATAGAAATGTCTGTGAAAATCATTCAAAATGCTACTCCTCCTACAGTTTTGGTTTGATTTCAATATAACTTGGCACACAAGTAGACTACAGTAAGATACATAATTCTGTGTGTCGGTTTTTGTTTTCAATGAACGGTGTTGCCGTGGTTACTAAAATTAGAAATATCTGTGAAAATCATTCAAAATGCTACTCCTCCGACAGTTTTGGTTTGATTGCAATATAACTTGGCACACAAGTAATATACACTATGATACATAATTTTGTGTATCGGTTTTTGATTTCGATGAATGGTGTTGCCATGGTTACTAAAAAAAGAAATTTCTGTGAAAATCATTCAAAATGCTACTCCTCCTACAGTTTTGGTTTGATTTCAATATAACTTGGCACACAAGTAGAATACACTAAGATACATAATTCTGTTTATCGGTTTTTTATTTCTAAAAATAGAAATTTCTGTGAAATTATTTCAAAATGCTACTCCTCCTACAGTTTTGGTCTGATTTCAATATAACTTGGCACACAAGTAGACTACACTAAGTACATAATTCTGTATATCAGTTTTTCACTTCAATGAATGGTGTTGCCAAGGTTACTAAAAATAGAAATTTCTGTTAAATACTCTCATAATGCTACTCCAAATACAGTTTCAGTCTGATTATAATATAATATGGCATGCAAGTAGACTACACTAAGAACATGAAGAGACTTAATCAAGGATCATTATTCTATTTATTGCTGTTGAAAAGTTTCAATTTCCAACTGCTTAAGTACTTTTCTCTTCCTTTGCTATAAGTACAAACCAGTAGAGCTTCAGTCTCGACAGAGGCTTCTGGTTGAAAAATGCTACGCTTATCCCTCTTTACTATTCGATACATATTGACTATGTAAACCCTTTCGGTTATTAAACCGTATTTGAAAGGTATATTATGCTGTGGCGGGGGACACATTATTTTTTTTTCTTTTAGATACAACGCCCACAGAGAAAGAGAAGAAAAGGGTAGACATACAGGACAAGCAAAACTGTGTAAGTGAAGAAAACGGACTTAAAAGTTATCTGTAGCCTTTAAGGATGTCAAAATCGAGAAAATCAACTTTTACAGAACAACTGTAAACTGAATAATACAACGAATACTTGCTTACACGCAGCTGTTGGGTTTATGCCTACATCACACTTTCCCTGACTTTCCACGATACACCCATCCATTAAAACACGTGGGTCTACACTTTATACGACACACTATTCTTCCTCTGTGCCTTGCATTATGACTTCAGTTTATAAAAGCTATTTTCTCGTACATGAATGGTGCAATGGCTCTTGACAATTAACACTTAATATCTTCATTTATACTAGTATTGCTCGGAATAAAAGTTGAAGTTAAAGGTCCCGTGATTTCGCTTGATACAGAATGCCGTCAGACGTCAAAACCTGACTCGTAGCCCGCGTGGCGCAGTGGATGGAGCTTCTGCTTTCGAATCGTGAATTAAGAAGTCGATTTTTACGCTGCGAGTCGAAATACAATTGTTGGACGTGGTAACTCTCTTCGAATGAAATCGTACAAAACCGAGGTCCCGTGTCGCAATGTGTGCTGGCACGAAAAAGATCCCTCACTGCTCAAAAGTCCCCAGTGCCGAGTATGAGACAACATTTGTAGCTTTCCAACGGCAATTGTGGCGTCTCAGTGTTTGAAAAATTACTGAGAGGTACTCTTAACGTACAACCACTCAAAATCTTTTTCACACTAGCAATGGGTATATTAATTGTATAATAAGAATAAAAATGAGCCTAGCACAGAACCCCGGGATACTCCTGCATCAACAGTTTACAAGATTTACAAAATACCATGTATTTTCTGTTGCCTGTCAGAAAGGTAATCGTTTTTTCAGCCAAAAATATTATTTTTGAACCCTATTTTCTTTAACTTTACAGATAAGTCAAATATTTATAAGCTTAACTTAAATTGGGTTTATATAATAATAAGTTCTATGTTTCTCATTCCCCCCTGTTTTAATAAACTGTTTGAAAAAGGGAACAACATTTTATAATTATAAACTGTCTCTTTTTCCCATAGAAGCGTGTTCAGTACTTTTCTTTCCGTAGCCGGTCTTGGACTTTTCTTCTGCCTGTGGGGGTCTGCCTGAGGTATGTCACTCTGGTAGGAGTTCATTGTCTTATTTGTTGCAACTTCCCAGTTACTGTCCTTTCTCCCAGACAGCTTGTACTTCTGCATAGTATTGTTGACAGACTTCTAAAAGAGAAATTGATTCTTTATAGATTGTTAAGTGTTCATGATAATCAAAGGTCCTCTTGCTGAATAATAATTCTTTTATGAACTTAAAATATTAAAAATTATAGACTCGTACGTTGAATAGTAGAACATGTTTATTTTGCCTACATTTTGTTGTGACTGTAACTAATTCAAAATATTGTACATGCATGCACCCTAGTTCCTATATGTATCAAGCAAGGCATGCAGTTTTTCAAAATATAAATATGTATCAAACAGATCCTCAAATAAACAATTGATATTTAAAATATTAAATAGTCAAAATACATGATTTTCTTACTCGTAGTGCAAGAAATCTTTTCTAAATTAAACAAGTTCATTATATTCATATACCCTCTCCCATAAAATTCTTTTTAAAAAAATCGGATTAAAGAAAAATTTTTAATTATTGTTCAAAGATGAATTTATTCTAATGTTCATTCATTAAAGTAAAAATTTTGGACCTCTCAACATAAGATAGAGTATGAAAATAGCAGGAAAACATATAGTGTATTTTATTAACCGATTACCTCTTCCTGTAGCAAAGAATGTTCATATGTCCCTCGGATCCAGAAGCTCTCAGGATCAAGGCCCTGCGGAACTGCTATCATGGTCTGGGTTTCCACGGATGTCTTTGAGGCGTTGCAAGATGTCTGACCCGCTTTCAGTTTAAGGATAATGCATTGACAAGAAAATTACGTCATGAATAATACATACGTGGTCACCAACACTCCAAGTAATAAATTCTGCATTTGCAACCTAATCTGACCGGTTTTAAAATTTTAGAAATTTTCAGGGCCAAATAAGGCCAAAAGTGGCTCTTGCTCATTTAATAATTAGATTGTGTATGAAAGAATGTATTGTTGATATCACCTCAATTGATCATGCTGGTAATAAGAACGGGGAAAAAACTATTAACACTCATTAATATCTGATCAGATTAGATTCAATCATAATAATCATAATCAGAATAATCAGATTATTCGTTATGCCGGAGTAGGGGTCATACAGGCCAGGAAATTAACAACGAGCAGAGTGTTTTATCATTCCTCTTTTCATGTGTTTGTCAAAATATGACTTGACACTGGCGGACCATTTTGCGGTTACTGCATCGTATGTTGCATTGAATTCGTCTTAAGATACGCTATGTGCCATTTGTCGCCAGTCGGAGAGGTAAACTGTTTTTTTCTGATTGTTCGGCTCCGTGTTTTCTTAATTCTTCTTTGAAGTCGCGCTTTAGATGGTTCCAGCAGTGGAGTACTTGCATTTCTGGAAAAAAAAACTTCGACACAGCTTTAGTAAGCGCTGGCTCTCTGTCCGTTGTAAAAGGAATCTTTTTTGACCCCAGAAGGGGACTCCTCTCAGACCGAAATTAAAAAAATCTGTTGTGACATTTCTGAAGCTTTCTGTCGTGAATTAAGAAAGCCAGAGGTTCCATGGTGTTCCTTCAAAGAGTACGTGCCTGAAAATTATCGGGGAAACATAAAAATCACCAAGATTGAATGTTGTGTCATAAACAAGACATACTGGGGTGCTAGCGTTGCTCTGTAGTATTTCTAGGCCAGAGTCTTTTTATTTTCTGTTTAACGGGAAGCGCCGACCCAATTTTTTCAAAATACCGAATAAAAATAAAAGAGGTCAATTTCACTTTTATTTTCAAAATACCCGCCGACTGTGTCATTCATTGATGTTTTGAAATAAAATCGGGTTTGATGTACACCTTATTTCTAACGAATCATGTAAACGTTTGAAATAGCTTGTGTGAATCAAAGTCTTTTACGAGCGTCCTGCTGATTACGATGTCGTAACCAGTTAAAGGAACTAGTTTATCACACTTCCCGGGTTCTATCAACAAGCAAGAATGTCATTTCAAGACAATAATAGACGGTAATTTTAAAATCCATTGATGATGAAAACAAGAAAGTTCTTGAAATGGGAGTTAAAACATTGACAACCTAAATACACCAGATGCACACTGAACTGTGGAGCAGTTGGGGTAAATCTTGAGACGTTGACATAAACTTTTTGCTAAAAATCATCAGTGTTTTGCATTTTTATATGTGTTTTTTTTTCTTTCAAAGATGTTTACATTATAGATTTAATTCAATCACATATGGTACATAAAAAGTTGAGGTAACATTCGCGGTAAAATTTTATATTACCATGAATCTTGTCTAACTATATCAGGGACATAAAAATGATCATTAAAATATTTTAGATCCGAGTCCATGTCTAATTGGTTGAATAAAATGAGGCTAGGATTCCTACACAATTACAAGAGTTGGTATAGAATACTGACAAGTGAATTGACAGCTATATTGGAGTTGCACATATCCTGTGGAAAGGTAGGGATAGAAAAAAGTGGACAATTTAATACTTTTATTGCAAAATGGACAAAGAAAGATGTTATATATTATAGTTATTTTTTTATCTAAGAAAAAAACTCATAAAATATTTTGTATCTTCATTTAGAAAAGAAAATAATCTCATGTAAAAACATTTTTTTTAATCTTCTACTTTCTACCATTTACTACATGTATTTGATTATCTAATAAAGTATCATATTCATAAAGGAATTTTTTTTTTGCAGTTTGATTTCTTGGCAGAGACCCATGCAACTATTTGTGAAGAGTTCAGAAGACTTCCTGGTCCACAATGACTTTGCTGTTGTTCATCAAAAAGTTCAGCTGACAAATTTCTATTCGGAACCTCAAAAATGTGTTATCCCTTTATATTAAGATAGCATTGTCAAGTTAGCTATCAACCCCATTGTTTTTTTTAACTTCTCTTAAATCATAATATACATGTAGCTTAAAACTATAAATTTTACACAATAGATAGATGATCACTTGAAGACCTGTGTAAAATTTTAAGCAGTGTTTTTTCTGTCATCTGCGTCTATCCAACATAATGGTTGCTGTATAACAAATTTAAGTTATAATATTATATTGATTTGCTTTCATACTAGAATAAATGTGCAAGTGTGATTAACCACAGTAGGGTAACTTATGCAGTTGTATCTTTTTATCCGTATTTGAAATCCAAATACATTGCAAACAAAATTGTATTGTGTTTTCTTTCGTTTTTTAACATTTAAATGAAAAAAAAAATTCACACCATTTTTTGGTTTTATTTTTATTATGGCCCCGACTCGACAAATTTTGATCTTTTATTTTTATTTCGTCCCCTGGACCCAATTTTTTCTTAAAAATTCCCGTTAAACAGAAAATAAAAAAAAACTCTGGCCCTACGAAGGTATTTACATTGTCAGGCAAGGCAAATATGCTAAACAAGTCTGGGTACACAGTTATCTCATGTACAAAACCTTCCAGATGGTATGCAAGTTGAATCAAATTATATATGTGATCTTTTCCCAGTTTTTGTTGTGCTTTTGAAACTGCCTGGTGATTTTGAATCTGTTTTTAAGTTTCTCGGATGAAGAACACCTTGATGTTCTCCGGAAACGTTAGCTTTGTTGAAAGTTTTCGGTAGACTGTCATGGGCTTGCCCTACGTATTTTTAATCTGGTTAAGAACAGATTTAGCACAACGAACATGCTCCGTAGCTTCATCTTCCTTGACATTACCATGGGGTTGAGAAACATAAAGTGTAATTACATGTAAATATAAATAAAGACATGTAGTCTACTTAGTTTTCACCGTTAGGTATCCGTACATGTTATACTATACCTGTGGCAATAATTAGCTTGGTTTACATATAAGTTAAAAATTTATCTGATATTAACCAAGCGAAAGTTGTCAAATGTGACCCCGAACAGCATAGCTTATGCACATTCCAGAACGATGATATTACAATAATAAATTACTAGTGCTAATTGTAACGGGAACCGTTACAGATGTTCGCCAAACGCTCCTCAACTCCCTTTTAGTGCCGTATTCCCTGTAAGCTTCATTAAATAAGACAAATTCTGTGCATTTTTGACTTTAACAACGTTTTCCCAGAAGGATACCAATTATATTCAAATTTTAGCATTGCACTCTCTTCATCTTCAACCTTATCGGTAGAATGTTTAGATATTTCTAATTTTTCATCCTAAGATTTCAAGACTTTTCGTGGTTTTCTTGGTTTACAGTTACATACTTTTTCATAAATTTGTTTCGAGCCAGATCTGCAAGTAAGCAATTTATGATGTTTCTAATCGCCTCCAATTGTTCCTGCAGAGGTCGGTGTGATAAATTCTTCTAGATTAAAGGCAAAAAAACCTGCCTCACTAGTGAAATTCCATTACAAAACATTTAAAAGCTGGATTTTTCTGTCCTATATAATTTCTCTGTGTTCTTCCGTTTACCTCTGTTGATCTTTTTGTAATGTGAACAAATTTAAATCCCCTTTAGCGAAGGATGCTTCCTGAAAGTTTTGATCGAAATATACCCCGTGTTCTTGAGAAGTTGAAAACGAAACCTGGAAATCTCCGGTTCGAAAGCTCACTTGAAACATTTCCAATTTGAATTGAGAATTTTGTTTTTTGCCTGTAATACATGAATTGCTTGATCAGCATTGATAAGGTAGCTTTTACATTGTCAACTTTTAATCTGTATGTATTGTTGTATCCTTGGCTTATCAGCCACTCACCATATCTGCACAGAAACTTTCCAGGTTTTGAATGTCATCTTCTTCCTTCAGCTGAAAATATAAGATGATCAATTTTAGGAATAATTTGAATACCTACAAATTTTACTTACTTTTCGAGAAGTATTCTGTATACAAACAATTATTCCTGTCATCTTTTATTCTCGAAACATCAGTCTCATATCAATCTGCAGCGACTAATTTTCACGACCTAGGAAAAAATTTTCAACAAATTCTACGCAAAATGATCGATTCGCGTCCATTAATATTCGCGATTCAAGGTAGGTTGCGGATATTGCACAAAAATTAGTTTATCTTGTATGCTGCTTAACTGTTCATATTAAAATTGTTGTATGTTGTTCGACACATATTTACACCGACTCAAAATATATCCATAGGACATGTCATAACTAAGAAACGTTGGTTTTTATCCACAACTAAATTTCAGTTTTATGGACTTTGATAATAAATACTATTCGTTATCACCATATCTTTCATTATTTTAGGAGTGCCTTACACAATCCCCCTCCCCAACTTTAAATCTTGTATGGTTTTCAAGTCAAAGAAAATGCAAGCCTTCCGTGTCCATTCCAAGTATCAATTGCTCGAATTCAAATTTAATGTGCTGAACCAAGGTTCATCGTGCAATGATTTGGCCAGCATAATAGTACTCCTTCTCCTCTATTTTTTGATATCATGGGATTCACTTGTATAGATTTAGACCCTTCATGACCTTCAGACATTGATTCCGTTGAAAGTTCTTGAAGAAATAAAGTAAAATTTAAAATAACAACACACACAAGATATGTTTGTGAAACACTGATGCCACCGTATAGCAGCTTAAGGTGATGGTTGAATTCTCTCAAATGTATGTCAAACCAAAGCCGTTGGTGTAACTTTTAAAAAGTTATGACCAAGGTAAACGTTTTAAAAGTTGGTTAAACCCTTAGGTCAAAGCCAAAATTATTTATACAAGCTGAAAGGTTATATTAAATACACATCAGAAATCAGAACGTCCTAGCTCTAATATGAAAGCTAAAACCCCATCAACTCAATAGTTACGGGCGAGGTTAAAGTTGACAACAGACACAGAAAAAAAGACAGACAGGACAAAAACAATATAAAAACAAACCCGCGTTTATAGTTGAAATACATGTAGTTGAACAATTAAGGTACCCAAGTGTAAAATCAACACTATGTCTTAATTTATCGATGCAACTTGGTTTGATATCTATTAGCCTGCCTTTACAACTTTTCAAACATGTCCGAATACCTATGGTTTACTTTCCTAGCTGTCTTTCCCAACAAATGGACAAACAATTGGATGAAGACAGGAATAACACTTCTGGACATGAGTATGGATGTCTAAAGAATGAATACTACGTCACATGTACTTCCGCTTCGATCTTATCCAGTTAGGCTGATTAAAAAGTGTTTGTCCATTTAAGTTCATTGGGAGAGGCAACGAAATAATTTTTTAAAGATGGCCACATGATAGCACACGAAACCCCTGGTCAAATAATATTTATCATTAATTAAACTTCAACTGGACATACATGTAAACTTGAAGACTCATCCCTCCCATGTAGCAAATGGATTTCTATGCACTGTGTACAAAAGTAAAGACATAATCTTTGTCAATCTCTTGAAAACAAAGAATTTATTCTTTTAATTTGCAATTGTTACAAAGCTTTATATAATGAAAATAAATGAATATTCACTGTCGTGCTTATACACAACAGTACAGTTAAGTATGGGCGCACGAATAAACATGAAGTTGACATACTATTTAAACAAAAATGAATCTGATCCATGTAACAAACCTAAGTAAAGGATGTGCTTAAAATTAAATTAACTGCGATGAGAAGTTGCTGAGAAAAGCGCGAAGAAATTTTTTTATGTATGTTACGCACAGGCGCATTGATAAACAGGAATTTGACATCGGTTTTCATAATTCTGGTACAATACTTCGGTTGATTGGATAAAAAAATGCTTTATGAAAATAAACTCCCTTTAACTGAACAAAAATCAAAATGGTTCACAATTGATGCACCTATGCATGTATAACCAGTTGGATTTTGGCTACAAGTTGTAAAAGTAATTCCTAGAGTACATGTAAATCCGTTCTTGAGTGTCAACGGAGAAGAAGGAATGTTAGGGGGTATAACAAGGTAACCCTTTATGTATTATAATGACCCCACAGCGCCATTACCTTGTTGATTTGAACATATTTTATTGATTATACCAATTGTAAAGTATAATCAATAAAATATGTTCAAATCAACAAGGTAATGGCGCTGTGGGGCCATTATAATACATAAAGGGTAAAGGTGCTTATGGTCTTCCCATATAAAGTCCAAGAATTGGTAAAATAGGTTTCTGAATTTATTAAAGACGATGGTGAATAACAATAATTAATTTTAACAATTTCTTACGAGACTTAATCGATTTGGATGTGGTCGGTAGAGCATCGGGCCTCCAAACTGAAGAGATTGTAATGAACATAGATATTTGCAAGGTTTTTGCAGGCATAGTATGATATAGTGAACACGTCATCTGCAGGAGACATAGACATTTTTTTCTCGTAGAGTTGCTCAAGTGATTAACCATCAGCCACTGAATTGTGTGCATCATACTCTGTCTTGAGATGCGATTTCACTGAAGTCTCTTGCATACAATTCTCTATATCAGTCCCTCTTTATGCGCCCAGATCGATAGATCTGCTTCACAGGCTTGGTTTAACATTTACTGGAACCCACAATGTATCTTTGTTTGGAAGGATCGTTATGAAGTTTTGGAATCCAATATATATAGTCGCAAACGCAAAACGTTGTCTCTGGCCGTTCTATACTTTGGAATATCCAAAAAGTCAACACTTTCATATAAAAATATACATACATATAAAGGTTTGTTGCAAGTTGAACAATTTTTTTAATTAAATATGCAAAACATAAAATACATTTCGTCCTTGATAGACGAGTTGATTTTCTAGAAGGCCTTGCTTTTGAAATTGCTGATGAGGATGCGATTTCAGGAACTATAAGTATATTTTTTATTTATTATAATGAACATAAATATATGTTATATACTCTTCATATCTGTTTTTATAACAGTTATTTTCTGTACTAGTATAAGGTGACGCGTTACTCATGGTTTTTTTTTCTGGATCTGAATCCATGAGCAGCTTGTCGATATAATCATTTTTAAATCCCTGCTTCTCCTGTCGCAAACGCAAAGTGATGTCGCTTGTCATTCTATTCCTTGGAATATCCGAAAAGTCATCACTGTCAGATGACATTGCATTCCTTGGACGTACCTTCTTCGCTTAGCCTGTCTATATCGGATTCCGTTCTGCATCAGTATTCCTTATAATACCAAAACCTTGTTCACTGAAATTATATTATTTTATATATAAAGACATAACTCTCTCACGTTTACTCATATTAACAATTTATTGTTCACGTCTTAAAATTATTTAAATACTTACACTTTCTTTTTATGTTTTCTAATATTTACAGTTTACTTTGTGTTTAATGAAAGTTTTTCTCCTAGTCAATTTGTTGATGTTTCCTGATATTTTTTCGCTGCGTTGTTTACTCTCCATACTTTTTTTTTTTAACATACCTCAGTTAGATAACTGGGAGACAGGCCCACGAGTCAAACAATGGGGTTTTATAATGGTTTGTGGCAGGCTTGTCAAGGGGGAATACCGACTACACAAGATCAAACATCAGACTTGATTACTGACCTCCACATGGTTTCTGTAAGTTGTCCATCGAACTGAATTATCTTCGTACCAGCCATTCTCTTTAAGTGGTCTTTTGCATGTTTCTATGCGCCCTATATTCGGTTCGTGTGAACATTATCTTCTACTGTGTTCTGGTGTTGATGTAGGTTTTCTTGAACGCATACTTGTGGACCACGGTAAAGTGATCATACCCTCGATTATTCAAACTACAGTAAGATAACCAACCGTAGCTGAAGATAGTGCTTCCTGCTTCCTCACGTCTTTCTAAAATCGGAACTAGCGTCTCCTCACTTCTGTCTCCCACTGGATATATATCAGGGTGTTGTCTCCCTCTCCACCATTCCAAAGATCCAAATCTCAGAAAAAAAACATTTCATTTTGTAAATACGTCTATTCCTTTAAATAATATGAACATGTGAATATTTCAACTCTAGATAATGTTATTTCCTTCAACAGTAAATATCTGCTCATATGTGTATAAATTTACATGTCGTGTTCATACAACTGTAATCTTACCTTTAGTCCTCTATTGGTAGCTCCTCTATGGTGTTTAACCGGTCTTCCAAACAACGAATCGTCGATTTCTATCGTACTGAAAGTTTTCCGCTTTTTATGGTAACTTCAAAGTATTCCTTGATCAGCCCTCTGATGAAGGACCCCAGTTCACCGCTGTTGATTTATACACCACACCTGCAAGTCTGGCGCATTGATTGGGGGGGGGGGGCATCCAAGTACATCTTGATAAAGAGGACAATATCTTGAAGTCTTAAATTGCTCTTCTCGAAGTTGGCAGGTCTGTTCTGTAATCTATTGGTTAGGCATCTAAACACAGCACAACCGACCTTTCTTGAAGATAACTTGAGTACCATGTTTCCCTTGCATTTCTTGATGTTGGAGGAGATGGAGAGGGGACCATGCATCCTGAACCATTCATATACTTGATAGTCTGAAAGTATCATTAGGGAATTAAAATCCATTGGATTGCTCAAGTCTCGCGGCGTAATTGCCATTAGATTTTAATTTTTTACTCTTTCTGAAGTTTCCCCTGCTTTTTCTAGACTCTGCCATACTTTAGCAATAGTGAAAAATGCAGTGACTTTGTGAAGTGAAATTTGCTTTAAATACTACTTAGCACGTGAATTTTCGTTAGAAATGACATATTACTAACCAAGAAAAGAAATGCATGAAAATGCCCCAAGGGTGCGCATCTTTGTACCAACATATCTAAGATTTTTCATAATGAAATTTCACACTAAACTAAAAAACTGCATTAAAGAAGGGAAAAAAGGGAATAATAGAGTGTAGATAATTTCTAAAATCTCATGTTTTGAAAAATATATCCTTGCCCTTAATTCAGTCTAGGAATTGATTTTGCCTCCTAGCAACATCCACGCATACAGCTTGTAGCCCCCTTCCTTCAAAGACTCTCACAATGTTAATATATAATTATTAACTTCTTTGAACGTTATCTATTTTAATAATTTAAAAAATCTTTCACGATTTAAGACATAATATACCTGAGCAAGGCTTAGCAATGGTTGTGAGCAGTATTTTCTCCAGCTAAATGCATCACGTGTACCCATTGTAAAAAAAAGTCTATGAATCGCGTACTTTCACACATTTATGACTCCTTGAAACTGCTTCAAAATATGGACTCTATAACAGTTTTCAAATCATTAGTGGCCATAATATTGCTGGTCCAATGGCATCTTGAATCCGTGACAACTGACTATAAATTCTTTTGTTGCTTTCCCTTTAGAAAAGTCCATTCTTTCCAACACTGATCGTGCCCAGGATTTTGTAAAAGATAAAGCCCCAACCCCCTCAATTCATTCAATAGATGTTTTTCTTTGAAAAGTATCACACGACTGCCAGTGCATCGAACAATGTGTTTATTACTCCCCCCCCCCCCCCGGCCCCTCAAGTCTTGGATATAGTTTATTCCTGAACATCGTTATTTTATGAATGTCCGAGCAAACAAGGTCTTTTTTGGGGGGGGGGGATCAAAGCAGTGGGTGGTTCCTCATCGTTATTTTTAGATTCCATGCTAAATGAAGCTTTGAATCGACGGACAGTGCTTTCATGGACATTTTTACAAAGTATAAATGAAACATGTTTAGCAGTTTTGGTCGCTTCATTTTATATTGCATAGTGCGCAATCTTGGCCTTCGTCTCCGGCGAAAATGTTCATATTGTACACATTTTGTCCCCCCCCCCCCCCTTTGGACAGAAACAACAATTGATTTCTGTGTCAACAACTTGGGTTACGTTTTCCTTAAGATCTTTTTTTTCCGGAAGCTTGGCGACTTTTGGGTCTGGTAACCCAGGTTAAGGTCCAGCGCCCTGGAAGAATTATTTAACATAAGTTCATTAGTATTCAGACATTGGTCAAGGTGTGAGGAATAAAAGAAAGATAACTTATTTTCATTATACCCCCCGCAAACGAAGTTTGGGGGGTATATAGGAATTACCTTGTCCGTCTCTCTGTCTGTCCGTCCGTCTGTCTAGCTGTCTGTGCAATCGTGTCCGGTACATATCTTTCTTACAGAGGGACATTAGAATCTACTACTCCACACAAAGATTGCCCATGACATTAACCCTTTCTCTTCCGGCGCATTTTACGTGTTTTTGGAGGCCTTTTGACATGCCATTATCAAATTATTTCTAACTTTTTTATCCTAGGTGAAAGCTAGGCATAATGCATACCATTTTGAAGGGAATTTCATAGAGATGATATTTTATGACTATTTAGATGCTCAACCACTGACCTTATTAGTACAAATTGAGGTCAAAGGTCAATTAAGTGCAAAATTTTATGGAATATTTTGATACTTTTTAATCTTCAAGCTAAATATTAAGTATTATGTATGTTGAAATAGGAAATTTGGGATATACCCACAAAAGAGCATTATACTGTAGTACATGAAACACATAAACTTTTTTTTCAATTCTGCATATAACTACTTAAAAGGGGTTGCTAAGCAACGCAGAATTCTTTAATTTTCGGGCAGAAATTTTCATTTTTTACTCAATCTAGATACATTTATGCATCCCAGCACATATAAAAGTTAGATGTGAGGTCATAAAATTATAACGGACATACAACAGATAAATTGTCTTAAAGTTTGACCTTATTAGAACTTTTTTAGGAGGTCAAAGGTCAAATAAGTGCAAAAGTTTCATTAATTTTTTTCAACACTTTTCAATATTCTTGCCATAATTTTACACAATGGATGCTGAAATGGAAAATTCTGAATATACTCTCAAGAAGGGATCAGAAATGCAATATCCATGCATCATTTTAGTTCAAATATCTGTTTAATGACCTTTAAGTGGTTGCTAAGCAACAACATTTTAAAGGTTTTGGCTATATACATGTTTGTTATTTCACATTCAGGACACATTCTAGACACTTTTTGTATATTTCATGATATTGTTTGTAAGATATACATGGGCCATAAAGATGAAAGAACATTTTTGTATTAAAAATTGACCTGGACACTCTTGTTCTTCAGGGGGTCAAGGTCATATCAGTACAGAATTCTGCTTTAAACTGTAAGTAATTATCAATTTTGAAATGCTTCATACATGGATAAATCATCTAATAGTTGACGTAATAAAAATGGCGAACGACAAAATTTGCAAGCAAAAAATTCTGGTCTGCTTCTTACAAACCCCTAGCGAAACACGTATACAATCTTTTTGTTAAACAAGAAATCCATTCTTTATTTTCATGGATTTAATCTAACAAGAAAAAAAAACTAAATGATTTCAGTACAAGATTTTTCTGGTATAACAGAGCTTAAGGGGTACAATAAAGACTTGACATGTTATCTTGAAGGGAAATAATAATAATAAATAGCATTGGCAATATTTAGCCCAAAACTGTTTGGTCAATAAGTTGAAAATTTGACGCTTATATCCAAATATACAAATCCAGATATACTGCAAGATGAATTCCAAATCAGACTGAAATCTTCAACAAAATGTTGAAGAGCACTTTTACTTTGTGTCCACCATTCTTTTATCAACTGTTACTTCTCTGTAAGACTGGAGGAAATTCTTTGACTTTTCCAAGACATTTTAATTTGCTTTCAAGTTCAAGTGATCAGCTTCTATCCTGTAAAAGATTTAAATATTTTGAAACAGATACATGTCATTGTGTATATGAATTTACATTTATAAATAAAATTAAGAATTCTAAAATTACTACATTTATTTGATTTTCCTTTTAAATTACATGTAAGATTGCATCTATTGTGTGATTCAAGTAGTTAAATGATATTGTTAAGTCAATGTATCAGGACTGATAATTCAACAACCTTGTAGTAAACCATTATGGTAAAATTACTGAACTAAAACAATTAGCATATATGGCAATCTGACTAAAGCCAGACCTCTGTTTACGCTATCGCAACATATAAAAAAAATCTGGCAGTGGATGGAAGATCTAATTTTAATAAGATTGCTACGAAAGCCATGAAGGGACACAGCAATTTTTCAAAAAAAAGTAAAAAATGAGATCTCAAATTAGACAATCCAATTCCACGGATACTAAATCATTCCCTCGATTTATAATTCGAGATCTCGAATTACACAATCCGATCTTACAGATTTTTAAATCGCCCCCTTGATTCATAATTTGAGATCTCGAATTACATACTGGTAATTCGTTTTCACAGATTAATAATTCGAGATTTGTTACAACGTCAGTCCTATGATTTTGGCAATCTGTGCTCTTGAATTTTATTACATATATGTACAGATACATCCAACCATTTTAATCAATTAGTGCGTTCACTTCTTTTTATTTTGTTTCAGCAACCGGTCATTTCCAACCTCTTTCATAACTAATTCAACGTATATTCATTTTAGAAATATTATGATTACACAGGACCCATATTCACTTTACTATATCGGACTTTCAATTATCTTAATATACACGTAACACAAAAACCTCTAAGATTTTTTGTTGTACAAATATCAGTACTAGCATATGGATTTGAAAATGTTCATGTATTTTTCTCATTTTGGACCGTAATATGTAATAAAAGGTTGGATGTAAAATACTACAATATTCTATTCTTTAAACATGTATTACCATATCTGATATGTACATATAAATAATTTTAATGAAATCATGGGAAGGGTTTACATTCCGAGGGAACGTATCATTTAAACTAAGAGAATGAATTATACAATCTGAGATAATGGATTGTGTAATTTGAGGGAAGATAATCTGTGAGAATATGAATTGGCAATTTGTTATAACAGATTGTCAATCCGAGAGAATGGATTGTGTAAATCGAGAACTCGGTTTACTTTTATAAATTTTTAAAAATTCTATGTCCCTTCATGGCTTTCATAGATTGCATACCTGCATGGCTGCCAGGGTTGTAAAAAGAAGGGAGACAATAGACTGCAATGTTACTTCAGGGCAAAATTCCTGGGGCAAGGCTGTTCGTGAGCATGGGAGTGTTGATAAACCATCCAGTGAGTTTGACCACCCATATATATGATGTACGATAATTGGAAAGTGTCTGGAAAAATGAGAAAATGGAAATTCTAACCACAAACTTTATGCAGATTGGAAATACAACAGCAGTCTATAAAAACAGCTTGTTTCATATCTCGGCATTCATTCAAATAGATATTACGTGTTTAAATAATGTATTTGTATGAATAATCAAGCATCATAAGTATTATGTGTTTCAAACACTTATTTTTCAAAATATAAATCAAATGTTTATAAACTTGTATGAATGCTATATCACGAGAATAACACAAATGAAATTTGACTTTATTTTTTGAAATTTTAGAAATACAGAAATTTTCAACAACAAAACAAATATTTACCTGTTCATTGGTGTCCTTACATATTAATTGGCATTCGTAGTTCATGGTGGGCTTAGCAAGTGGGTATTCACAGATGAAAGTATTGTTGCATATGGTGCCAGCACCCTAAAAATTCAAAGTGAACGTGGTATATGTACACACTGGTACACACATACTGAAAACAACTATCTATTTAATATTATGGCAACTTTGATTTTAATTTGAACTTACGAGTGTTTGTCAAAAGCATCAAAGTTCAAAAGCAACACAAAATTGGCTGAACAATACGAAATACGCACACTGAAATATGAAGATCTAGTACATGTACATGTCTACATTTAGTTTTCTTTTGAACGTGAACTAATTGCGTTTTAAACTTAAACTATTCAGTCAATATACACGTATTCTCACCTGCTAATATACCAAAGGATGTCCGTATTATTTGATTCATTGATGTGATGATTTTCGTCGTGAAATAATCATGAAAATTGACGTTCAGATTTCGGATCACCATCATCATGTTGTTTGTTTACTGCCATAGCGGAAACACGTGGTTATTTCAATTCGTATCAACTCATACAGTGATGAGTCGTATTTATTTATAAATGCGAATTCTTGTATTGTTAAATTTCGTGCCAATATAGATCTAATTAATTTGCAAATTAAATATACAATATAACAAGATACAACTATATTTAAAATCTGTTTTTTTTTAAGTAAAGATCGACGTTTAGGGAATCTACAATTTTTCTCAACATTGTACATCAGTACATGAAATTTTTAATTGACATTTCATTTCACACAAAAGGCAGAACGATAGTATATATTTGTTTTTTTTTAAATGTATTTTTGTATTATGCATTTATTTCAGTAAAAAATATATATTTAAATGGTCAAAAAAGTCTTATAAAAGAATTTGTTGTTTCGAGTAAGACGCAATAATATCGACCTTGACGTTACATGGTAAATATTGACCGATTTTTTTTTTAAAATTATGCGAAGGTCACAAATTCAAATTATCGTAATTAAGAAAATACTGAGCGTAAGAAGGCCTGTAAGGGCTTGTTGGAAAGGAAATTTTCTCCACTTTTACCAGCTTTATTTTGTTCTCCCTATTTCAACACAGAAATAAACGTAAAACTGAGCTTTGTTTAAACATTACGAATAAAACCAAGAAAAAACACATAAGTGCAAGAAAATTCTTGTTTTTAAAATATACCTTAAAGTAATAACAATAATTTTTACATATTTTAAAAGTAGAGAAAATATGCTTTTAGGATATACCATGCTTTCTTTATAAAGTTAAACAGGAAAAAATTGTCAAACGTCTGGAAAATCGGCAATCGCTTTGGAAAATTACGCCATTTTCAAAAAGTCACGTTTGTCTTTACAACGTAAAATCGATTAAATACCGGCAATCAAGACATAATCTTTTTAGATATTTTAAAAGTAGAGAAAATTTCCAAAAAGATGATATATAGTTTATATATCTTCATGCTACCATTAAATAGATACGGAGATCTTCTTTTCGCGAAGTCGTGTTTTAACGCGCCACCGGTCAATTTGACCGGTACGGAAGTGAAGGGGTTAAGGTGTATCATGACCTTGACCCAAGGTCATTTGGGCAACTTCACGGTCACTGGAAGAAAAATTTCATAATTCGTGTCCGGTTTATATCTTTCTTATGGATAAACTTGGTAGGTTCTCATTTCACACAAAGATTGCCCATGACCCAAGGGTGTGTCATGACCTTGACCCAAGGTCATTTAGGAGAGTTCAAGGTCACTGGAAGAAAAATTTCATAATTCGTGTCTTGTCCATATCTTTCTTATGGATAGACTTGGTAGGTTCTCATTTCACACGAAGATTGCCCATGACCTAAGGGTGTGTCAAGACGTGGTATTTTGTCCCGTTTGGACAGTTCTAGTTTTTTTTTGCACAGTATAAATTTGTCCGAGTTTTCACTCCTGAAATTTTTAAAATGTAGAAATCGTCAAACTTTCGTACCGCCAATATTACCACTTTTACAATATGTAAGGAAACTAAAACTATGTAAAATAAAAATTCACTGAAACAACTTGTCCGGCTTTTTAGGAAAGAAGTCTGGACGTTTCTTTATGTCCACTTCAGTAGCATGATTTGGACAGGCAAGCTCCTTTCCCTGTGTAATCAGGGATGATGGGACTTCCAGAGGTTCGGTCTTCAAGAATTTACTTCTGTTTGTGATTACCACTCTCATTTTTCATGATCACATTCAACATGACTATTGTTCCAACTTTCATTAAGTCCAGTTTGGTAATGTCGTAAAGAACTCCCTTTTCTGCCATTGTATTGTCTGTAAGCCAATCACTGTTGATTGGGTTGCTCGAGGCTTGCATTTCTGTGGGCAACTACTGGGCCAACATGAAATGGTCTATCACCACAGCAAGGTTAATTTTTTCGTGACAATCGGAATCGTTCAAGATTTACAATGTTAGACTTGTCTTGTTTTTTTAAGTAGCGTAATAGCGTAATTTTGTGGTTAAAAAGCGGAAGGGTAGGCAGGTCTGTAAAAAAACTTTGGAACATAATTTATTTTGATATCACTGTCTTGGTATAGATTCATTGATTTGATGCTTTTTATTAATTAACTTGTTTTATTTCCATTTTTGAGTTATTTCATAATAAAAGATATTTTAAAAAAAAAAACTAATACGTATATGGTATTGCAATCGTTTATTGATTTTATGTAAACCAATTGCGACTTACAAAAGATCTATTTGGATAAAATAAATCCTTTTTTAGCTCACCTAAGCCGAAGGCTCAAGTGAGCTTTTCTGTTCACATTTGGTCCGTCTGTAAACATTTCACATTTTTGACTTCTTCTCAAGAACCAATGGGCCAATTTTCACTAAACTTGGTACAAGGCATCCTTCGGTGAAGGGGGGGGGGATAAAATTGTTAAAATAAAGGGCCAAATCCCTTTACAAGAAAGATAAAAATAGGGTGGGGTCACAAGAAAATCTTCGTTTCAAGAACCACTGGGCCAAGAAAGCTGAAACTTATGTGGAAGCATATTTGCGTAGATATAAAATTGAATAAATCATGACCCCGGGGGTAGGGTGGGCCACAATAGGGAATCCAAATTTTACATGGAAATATATAGAAGAAATATTTAAAAATCTTCTTCTCAAGAACCACTGGGCCAGGAAAGCTGAAACTTATGTGGAAGCATCCTTGGGTAGTGTAGATATTAAAATTGTTAAAAATATTACCCCCTCCCCCCGTTGGTAGGGCGGGACCACAATAAGGAATTCCAGGTTTTACATAGAAATATATTGAACAAATCTTTAGGGCGGGGCCACAATAGGGAATCCAAGCTTTACATAGATATATTCAGGAAAAATCTTTGAGGAAACTTCTCAAAAACCACTGGCCCAGGAAAGCTGAAACTAATATGTAAGCATTCTTGGGTAGTGTAGATTCTAAAGTGGTGTCATACAAAATTGAATTTTACATTCACTACTACAGTATATTTCATATGGTTTTTCTATACTCCCAACAGAGCCAAACTCTATGGAGGATAACACAGATGAAGATAATGAAGATAATGTATTTGACTTTACGGCTGCTGAGGAATCACCAATGCCTCCAGTAAGCACTCTACCGATTATCAATAATACAAAACTATAGTACTGTTACATCCAATAGTCCACTCAGGTTTTATTAGGGAATGGAACGATAGAGCTTTAACTATATATTGAAGTCTCGGTTATCAAACTTTAACCAAGACATGAGAGCTACATAATTGTTGATAGAACTAACTGCCCATAGTTAAGGTTCATTTCGGACATGGGGTGGATCCCAAAAAAATATACGTATTGAAAATTAACTTGATAAAATTTTTGACAATCGAAAAAGAAATAAAAGTATAAACGTTTAATATGACAATACCTATTTCTTCACAAGTGACCCAGGGGACATTTAGCACACCTGAGCTAAGATAAAAGCCTAAATCATTTAAGGCCACACCAATAAAAAATTTTGTTCGTCGGACCCGCGCGCTCGTATTTAAACAAAACTATACAATTAATATTAATTTAAATTCCCCGCACCATGGGCATTCTGTGCTGTTTTCTGTTCCATTTCCGCTCTATTTATCGTGCTTTTAATCTACTTACTCTGCTAAGGCCAGACCAATTTAATTTCTTGGTCTTCGGATTTTTTACAGAAAAAATTGGGGCGAGCGAGCGATTTGAAAATTTTAAAATTAAAAAGCTGAAATTCAAAAACGGAGGAGCGGTGTAAAATGAAAAGAGGCGAGCGATAATATTTCATTTTTTAAATACCTGTTTATTTCAATTCATAGTGATTCAAGTAGGAATCATACATCATGTAAATGTCCAATTCACAACATTTTATCTTTTACACCTCTTGGGCAGAATATTTTTCCTCCAAGTTCTAGGGTCTCTGTGAATATTTTCATATTGAAAGTTGAAAAAAGCTTGAATAATTGAATATTGTTCAGAAAGAGCAGACATATAAGGGTCTGTATCATCCAGAAGATTTTCAGTACTTCAGCAATGGACACACACAGGTGGAAGGTAGTGCTTTAAAGTACTTGAAAAATAACTGTGCAGTTTGTGGCCTCCTTTACTACTATTCCTGGATCCTCTGTGTCCTCTGGTACCAGGTATACTAATGATCCTCTTTTCTACGAATTGATAGCTCCTCCTACAACAACTTTCCATTATGAAAAAGCAGTCTCACAATACATGTATATCAATCTTAAATAAATTTAAGCTTGTAGGTATCTGAAACTGCAATTCAAACCAAAAACAGGTAATAAAACATCCCTTCTACTTAAATTACCTTTTTTTTACTGTAGAGTGTAGACATACATGTATCTATGTTTTGACCACTCTCCACATACATTTTATTTTAATATCTCGAACTTTCTGGGTCTTAAACACTTCCATGTTTTTTCTATCATCTGTGTCTTCTCCATACAGTGATACACCTATGAAATGGTTTATGAAAAGTCAGATTCAAATAAGTTTTTACAAAGTTATGCCCTTACAGGACAATAGTGAAAAGGAACGCAATTGACATTATATTCGACATAATATCACTGCTTCTTAATTTATAATATATATTTCATTAGGCTTGTAACAAACACTTCTGTATGGTAGACATGGCAGTTTAAACAAAGATACAAAGTAACTTACATGAAAGTGTAGTAGATATTTCAGAAACATCGATATCAGCATTGTCTGCAAGAATGCACAGGCATTCTTGATATATTTCTATGCTAAACTCCTTACTAGAATACTGACATTGAGTGACAATCCGGCGCCAAAGATTTGTGATACAATCAGTGTAATTCAGGAATAAACATGTGCATTTTTGAAAGCCTTGATTTAAA